TAAAAAAAGTAGATTCAATCCTTGGATATTTATCAGAAATTTTCATTCAAACTGATTTTGGTTTTTAAAATCAGTTTCGAAAGTTTGGTCAAATCGTCAATTTTGAGCTCAATTATCTCGGTTCCCACGAGAGATTTCAAAAATCTGTCAACAGATGAAATATTGGAGATATTATGATAAATAATTTATCAGTTGACACATTTTTGATATTTTTCACAGGAATAAGGATAATTAGGCTCCAAATTGACGGTTTCGGTGGGCTACTATGAAAACATTGTATTTCTATTTAGATTTGAATATCGAATAAAGATACTACATAATACAAAATTTTGCTACATTTAAAACTATTCACCATCATGAAAACACTTCAGAACTAGAGGTGAACAAGTTTTTCAGCGAAAGTGAGTCTCGAGTAGATTTTTGGATAATCTGGTGCTGATGAACAGTAGAATTTGAGGGGTCGACATAGAAAACAAAACGAATAATTCAAAAGAGAAGGGAATCGTATTTCTCTGCCAGCTTTCAATAGTTTAGTTTAAGAGTAACAAAAAGTGAAAGAATGATACGAAGCGATGCCTATGCAAAGGTGTCAAATGACCGAACGGCCGGCCTCCGACGTTTCTCCCAGACTCAAAAACATTGTGTGTTGTGAGAAAGGGAGGAGTTCCCCCAGATCGATTAGGACAAAAAACACGGGAGACACTTTATTTTCTTTCTTTTCTCGAATTTGGAGGTGTGGTTCGTGGTCGGAAGAGCAGTGCGCACTTGCTCCGGGGCGCGAGAGCAAACATACTGGACACTGCTTGAGCAGAGGAAGAAGAAAAAGAAGAAGAAGAGACAGACTGTGCAAGGATTATGATATAGAACGTAACAGAAAAACGAGCACCATTCGGGAAGAAGATGGTCGTTATAAGGTTGATGAAGAAGCAGGTAAAGGAAGTGGCCGGAAAGAGAGACAATAGACAGAGGAAGGAGGGGATAAGAGAAATAACAGGTGTGGGATAGTATGGAATTTGAAAAAGGATGAAGATGATGAGAGGGTATAATTAGACGGCACAGGTTGTAAAAGAAAGACTGTATGAACTGCATAAGGATTATTAGAAACAAATATCTTGAAGCATACCGTATAACCTGATAAATAGGCCCCCATACTGTCAGCTGAGAGACAATTTATTTCGGTTTCTATAAAAGATATCCACAATACACCGACTGATAAAATTTTTTTGATATTATGATACACCGTCTTTCAGTTTACAACTTTTTATATCTTTGATAAGATCCGAGATCAAATGGCTCAAAGTTCGAAGTTAGGGGCTCTTTTATTAAAGATTTTGCGGTAACCATGAGGCCCTGATCTAAAGCAATGGCCAGCTTGAACATTTAAAAGCTCCAAAAAGTACAAAAATCTAAAGAATATTTGCAAAGTCAAGGAAAAGCCATGGCAAGCGCTCATAACACTCCAATCTCTCTATTGATCCTTTTTCGAACATTTGCGCTCTCAAAAGTGTGTTAAGATAAAGCAAATAGAATCATGTTTTAGGGAGAGAAAATCAAGTCGAAAACATCTGAGAATTTGAAAACGGCTGGCGGTGTTGAAAAGTAAAAGTATGTTAACGATTCTTTGTCTTTCAGTTTGTAGCCCAAGCGAAACTAAACGATATAGGGTTTAACCTATTTAGTGATTATCGATAATAAAAGGAAATTAGTGAAATTTATTTAAAAATATCATTCACGATTAATGTAAGTTTGGAAATTGTGGGACAGAATGAAGTTTCTGAAAAAAGATACCGTAAAGCCTGTAATAGAAGGACTGCCCCACTGTCAAGTTTGATCTAATTTCTCTCCATTCCTATTCAAGATATCGAAAATGTGTTCACTGATAAAATGTTAAGCATAATTTCCTTAAATGTTGTCAGTTGACGTTTTTGATAACTCGTGTAGGAAGTGAGATAATTAAGCTCAAACTTAACAGTGTGGGGCCCCTCTAATACAGGTGTTACGGTAATTCTATAACTCAACTTTCTGAAATTTTCGGAGCGTTTCATTTGGAAAGCTGATTCTTCACAAATGAGGACTACAATTTTCGAGTGAGTTCAGTGAGTATGCTTCTTCAAAAATTCCATATTTTCAAAATTGTATCAGAAATTATGTTTTGTATGTTTTGCATATTGTTTTTTTTTCGTAAATTGTATATTTTCAAAATTGTACAATATCTATGAAATGTTAAAACTTGCCCTCAGTCTAATCAGACTATTTTTTTCAAATAGTCAGACATCACACCTTTATCCGATCTTTCCACCACTTCCTTCTTTTGTTGATTTACACCTTTTTTAGTTTCATTTTACGACTTCGCCCACCAGACCTTCCCCAATAACTATAAACTTCCCCTTTCCCCAATTTCTACATTCTTCAAATTCCGAACACTCACCGAAAACTGTTGATCTTTGTCTTCATTAGTTACTCTTGCCATACTGATATCACACATTTTCGTTGTACTTCGCCGTCGAAGAAGTGCTCCACGACGTCGGATTCGGGAAGACATCCCGTCTGATAAATGGGATGAATTGTGAGTGAGGAAGAAGAAAAAGAAGAAGATGGATAAGGAGAAGAAGACTGAAAAAGGAATTGAAAGAGACTAAACATGAATTATTGAAAAAGGGTTCGGAAGACCAAGTGGTACCAAGTTAGAAGCCATTATTTTGGAATGAGATGAGATGGACGGGCTGCAAAACGAGAAGACGTCAAAGGATGTAGATGGCAAAATGTCTTTTTGGATGTAGAACATTGTGTTATGATTTTAAAATTGCCGTGAAACCAGTAATAGAAGGGCACTCTTACTTTTCATTTTGAGCCAATTTATTTGGGTTCCGGTCAAAGATATGAAAAAGTTGTCAACTGATATATTGTTTATCATGATATCAAAAACATTTTATCAGTTGACACATTTTTGATATCTCTTATAAGGACTGAGATAATTGAGGTTAAAGTTGACGGTGGCCCTTCTGTTACAGTGTTCTTTAAACAATCAAAATTTTATCGTTTCTATTGTGAAAATGGGAAAAGGAAAAAGGAAAATGGATCAATTTTTCGAATGCAAAAAATCATATGCTACAAGACTTTAGGAGAAATGAAATTATAGGGTGCAAGACATAAACTTTAACATGAAGCCATAAACATTTTCATACTGAAAATTCCAAATAATAAATTTTTGATGGCATAGTCCAGATACAGTAGTCTTGCAACATCAGTCTTATTCAGGCCCAGAATGAGAAACTAACAAAAATTTTGAAAAAGAATATAGATGAGAATCATGGCAAAATACATGGGAACGGTATGTAAATTCCCATACCAACCGCCTTCGTGGCAAAAGCGGAATCGATGTCATATGAGATGATAATGAAGAGAATGTTCACATAGCCATTCTCATATACTTATTTCGAGAAGCCTTTTAACAAAGAGAGAAAACGAACGAACGAACGAAGAAATAGCCGCTGGGGGCGATTTAATTAGACTCTGCCCTTCTCTCTTTTTCTCTAGTCGCCTGGTTTTATCTGTTCTGTAAGAGGAAATGAAAGTGGAAAATAGGCGACGTTTCGGGGCTCTTTTCCGGAAGAATAAGACGATGCGGAATGAAGCGGATAAAATGAAAGAAGACGAGTTACAACCCGTTGTTTTGATGCAAAACGACTAGAAGGACCACTGGACGCAGCGGCCACTCGTATCATGTTTCAATATGGGAGAGCATATTACGAGCTGCCAATGCGACGACACATGTGGTTTATGATGATGATGATATGTTCTTTGGAAAGAGAGAGTGACCATCTGATTCTTTGATTTTGTTCCGATTTGTTTTGAAATGACATTTTGGTGAAAAGGTGTGAAGTTCTAGGAAGTCGATTGTACTGAAAGTTTTTGATATAGTTTAATGATGATCTGTCTCAAGGTTACTGTCTGTCTCAAGATTACTGTAACTTTGATATTGAAAACATTAAGATGCTTGAGAACAGTTAGGTTATCATGATTTTTAGAAAAACTTAGTCTGAAATGGTCTACGATAACATACCGTAAACACTCAAATAGAATTCCCCCCCCCCCCCCCAAACCGTCCACTTTGAGCCCAATATATCTTATATCCTGCAAAAGGTATCAAAAAGTAGTAAACTGATGAACTATTTTTGATATTATGATAAATAATTTATCAGTTAGAACTTTTTTATATCTTTTACAGGAACCGAGATATTTGGGCTCAAAGTTGACGGTCCTTTTAAATTATTGCGGTAGTTTGATAATGAATGAAAATTGTGATTTTTTGAAATTCCTCGCATTCCCACGAGATTACTGTAATTTTGAAAATAAATATAATTTTAAAAAACAATTCTTTGCTTTGAATACGGAAACTTTAACATGATTTTCAGCCGAATTCAGTTGAAAATTGGTCTAGTACATCTTCCAATTTGAATTATTTGAAAAATAGCTATAGCTTTCTCAGAGTTTCACTAAATCAATATTTTTGAATAGTTTTCTTATAATTATTCTGAAATTCAAGTTTCATACGATTTCGAACACTCCAACTGTGATAAATTGTCTTGATTGAGTCTTTAGCAATTTCCTAAAAATTAATGAAGGATACATTTTATATGAAAGGAGTTCCACTCTTCCCTATCTCTTTTTTGCTAATTAGATATCCCCGGGCCCTAGAAAATTAAAATATGAAGAAGAATCGGAATCCAATTTATTTTCTTTCCTCTATACAGGCTTTTTTAGCTTATATGCCATATCTTCTTGACC